AGAGCTGCTAAGCAACCCAGGCCTTACTAGCCTCCCACAATAAGAGTGCTGCATCGCTTGTGTTATTGGCAAAGCTCTTCTTGAAACTTGGCACATCTTGCTGCATTTATCAGTTCCTTTCTTCCTCTTCCAATTAGCTTAATTGCCTGGGGCAGGTGCAGTTTTGGTGTCACTTTATGGAACTGCGGGGAACTGGGACAGAAAGGCTGGGTAGATCGTGGGTTGAGTACAGGCCCAGGGATTGCAATGTCTAGAGTAGACCCCCAAAAGCTGATCGTGGCAGCTGGGAAATGAATGTGGCTCAATCAGACAAAGTGTACCAATTCAAGACAGGCCCTGAGCCTCCACCTGCAGAGTAACTATGAACTCCTAAGAGAGATTTTAAACTGTCCTGTCCCGCTGATAGATGTCAATGGACTGGACTATGCACTCAGTGCAAACTCCAGCTTTCTGTGCCAGTTTCTCTAACCATATACCATGCCTCCTAAGGATTAACCAGTTTCCTAGTTTATCACAGAATCATAGAAAGTTAGGGCTGGGAGGGACCTCAGGAGATCATCTGGTCCAACCCCCTACTAGATCATCCCAGCCAAAGCTTTGTCTAGCCGGGTTTTAAAAACATCCAAAGATGGATCTTCCACCACCTCTCTGGGTAACCTGTTCCAGTGTTTTGTTACCCTCCTAGTGAGTAAATTCTTCCTAATATCTAACCTAAACATCCCTTGCTGCAACTTGAGACCATTGCTCCTTGTTCTGAGAACAGTCCAGCTCCATCCTCTTTTGAACCCCCCTTCAGGTAGTTGAAGGCTGCTATTAAATCCCCTCTCAGTCTCCTCATATTTATAATAAATAAACCCAGTTCCCTCAGTCTTTCCTTGTAAGTCATGTCCCCCAGCCCCCTCACCATTGTTGTTGCCCTACATTGGGCTCTCTCCAATGTATCCACATCCTTTCTGTGGTGGGGGCCCAAAACTGAACACAGTACTCCAGATGTGGCCTCACCAGTGCTGAATAGAGGGGAATAATCACTTCCCTTGACCTACTGGCAACACTCCTACCAATGCAGCTCAGTATGCTGTTAGCCCTCTTGGCAACAAGGGCACACTAGTGGTTCATGTTCTGGATTTAAATTCCAGATACCAATCTAAATTCTAACTACAGTGTTAGAAAGTGGGGGATCCCCTTGTCTGTGGTATGTTGGCTTGTCACACATATCTACATGCTTGCCTGGAGCATACTTGCATGCTGTTGTGTTCCTGTGGAAGCTTGTCCTCTTCCTTACTGAATTGTGCATTCAGTATGCACAGTGGAAAGATCTACAGATACAGCAGGCATCCCACCCAGAAGAGAGCAGATAAACTACATTAATCCCCTCTCTAGAGCTGAGCAGGGAGTATATGAGAGGCGAGGCATCAACTTTTCTGAAGAAGTCCTGCAGATG